TTCTGTTCTCAGTCGAGTGCCTCCAGATAGGGCAGCTCTCTCCAGGTCTACAAGCTGGGAGGGCTTTTCTGTGGCTGAAAGTCTCTGTTCAGATTTCCTTCCTGCTCTTTATTTTTTTTTTTTCTTCTGTTTCATCTAAATCTAAGTGAAGATGCCTTTGATAACATCTGTGCCCAATTTCCTGTACCTGCCAGACATCATTTTTTGTTTTGTTTTTTTCCGTCCTAAAAACCATTTCAATGACATGTTTCTATTATAGAAAGGTCTATGACAATGTATTCTGCCAAGGTTGTGCCCTTCCCTCCTAAATCCTGTTCTTTAATGCCTACAGAATTAGTGGGGTTGCTTTCATAGAAATTTCTCTTGGCTGGCTTGGAATATTTTCTACTCTTGGCCACTTTTTGAGCTCAGGAACCCTGAGCAAAACATGAGACAATTTATGAAAGAAATTAGTATTCAGGGAGGTCAGTTCATTCTGATTATAGGTAGTAACTGGCCAGGCCTCATTGCCATTCCACACTCCTTATTTCTGATTCCTTTACTCATTCACTCAGTAGAGATTTATTAAATCTCTCATACAGTTCCTGAGTGTATCTAAGTCTACACTAGAAAGTGAATATGCACCTAAGAATGGAAAGCATAACGTTTATTTAAGAATAAAACACTTTCATCACTGTTCTTTTACTGTAGTGACTTAAGATCATGGGTACTAATTTATTTCAGGCCCCTAAAACAATCTGTATAGAGGCTTTCACTGCAAAGTTCTTGCTCAGCAAATACAGACAGAAATAAAAATGAGACCAAAAGCTTTCATTGGCTAATGTAACTTTTTTCATTCCCATCCGTGGAGGAAAGCTTCTTTGGGATCAGACAGTGCAAATCCTCCAGTGCTACTTAACTAGTTGGGCAAGTTATTCACCTTTTAGAGTATTTCTTCATCTTACTTACTTACTTACTTATTTATTGGGGCAAGGTCTCACTCTGTAATTTAGACTGGCCTTGAACTCACTAAGTAGCCCAGTCTGGCCTTGAGCTCACAGCGATCCTCCTGCCTCAGCCTTCCAAGTGCTGGGACTATAGGCATGCGCCATCATGCCCAGCCTTCCTCTTTAAGATGAGGACAATGGGTTTGTTACAGGTACAAAGTACTGAGGATAGTACAGGCATCTGGAAAGCAATTAATATGCCTTTCTTCCCCTGTCAACTGTAAATTTATCATGTTGCTAACAGTGAAGAATGAGATGTTTTAGTAAGAGGCAAACAAGTCTCATTCTTTCCTATCCTGCATCAGATTGTCCTGGAAACACTACACGTAAGTGACTAAGCATTTGTAAGTTTCTAGCCTACTGCCCGTGCGATTGATGTGTCAGTGAGAAATGAATGACTAGGTAGCTGGCAGTGAAAGATTCCTGGGATGACTGTGCTCCATGCCCTGGATAATCACATTCATTTCATGGAAAGTTGAGATAAAACACTAGCTCAGAAAAATTTATTGAGGTTTTGAACTATAACCCTACCATTACTTTCTTCTTTGCATATACCACCTTCATATAGGACATGAGTTTTTAAATCATCTTTAAAGGCTTTTTATTGAAAGCAAAATTCACATGACTTTCTTTTTTGAAAGCAGCTTTCCTTACCTATTTGTCATATTTTAAGAGGGGTAAAATTATTGAGCTACTGTGAACCACTGTACCATTCCAACATAATACTTAAAAACCTATGATTTCAAAACAATCTTTAAAGAAGTAAAAATGGCATTTCAAATCAGAGATGGACTTGTTATGAGACCAGTAAAAGCTTTTTATTAAAAAATGGAGTCATTTGACCTGCACATGGTGACACATGCCTCTAACCCTAGTTATTAAGAGGAGGGAGGAGGAGGGTCACAAGTTCAAGGCCACTCTGGGCAACATGGCAAGACCCTGTTTTAAAAAACAAAAGAAAACAAAATGGGGTATAGGGATGCAGTGCCATGGTACAGTACTCCTAGGTCCGATGCCCAGTACCCCCATAAAGCCGTTGCTAAAGTGAACCTTTTGGAAAAGGAAGTGATTTCTAGGGTATGAATTCCAATGTCAGACATGTGCACCATTAGCTAGCCTGCTTCTTGTTCATAGAATAGACATGAGCACTTTCTTTTAACTGAATATATATAAAGAGTGTGTAGGTTCAGCCTTCCTACACTGTGTCACATTATACAAATATTAACACTAAAAACAGGAAAACAGACTGAAGATCCTTGTTTTTTTAAAAGTTTACCTATAGTCAACTTAAATTCTAGAACTAAGTCACATTTTTTGGGTGGTCAGACTTTTTTATGATAATCCTTGGATTTTAATAATTCTTCATTATAAGACCTAAGAAACTGGACTGTATATTGCTAATGGAAAACATATTCTCCTAGAGGAGTGATGTTTTATTTGTGTAATATAAATGTTATCATATTGGCACTACCTTATTTTTAGATGCTTGGGATTCATTGATGGGGAAAACTCAGAAAATAGTTTCTTAAAAAACAGAATTGCTTTTTAAATAGAGTCTGTTTAGAAGACACTTTGGAGCAGTAACACTTTTTAAGTAGCAGAGAAGGTTGTTTTAAGTGGCACAGAGGAAAAGACGGGGTCTTCCATTATAGTGACCGCACTTTGTCATAATGACCGTGTCAGGAACATTTTCTTTGCAGGTGAAAGACTGTGAAGGAAAGAATGTATTTGAGAAAACCTGAGACTATTTTGAAGCATTTGGTTCTAAGATATTTACTCAGAGAACCATAACCACTTAATGGATGATTTTTCTTGACTGCTGTCTAGGAAAATACTACCTTTGACAGGGATACAAAACTCGAGCTCTTAGTTTTAACGACCAGTTGATCTAATTGTCTGCACTCTTCCCTGTTTTCCTATCACAGAATTGGAAGACTTTTTGATGGTACAGAGCCCATTGTTCTGGACAGCCTCAAACAGCACTATTTCATTGACAGAGATGGCCAGATGTTCAGATATATCTTGAATTTTCTACGAACATCAAAACTCCTCATTCCTGATGATTTCAAGGTGAGGGAATCCGCATTAAATTAATAATATGTGATTTGCTTTGATGTGCTCCAAAATATTTCTACTTTTAAATTTTTAATATATACCATTTCTAATGGTGACATAGGATTCTTTGACATGCTTACTCTGCTTCATTAAATAGATTAGGGTCATTAAAGTTTTATATGACCAAAAGAGTTTTACTTTTTATTTAAAGAATTGAGTTACACTTCATTTTAATAAATTGAAAATAAGTTGATTAAGTTTAAATCTCATTTATTGTCTAGCAAGCTAGACAATAAAAATAAAATTATTTAGCTTAATGAAGACTTTGTCTCCTGAAAATTAAGAGCAAACGTGGAGTTAAATCTTGGAATTATTCCCTTTAAAGTTTGTAATGAGCATTAAAGTTAGATTAGCTGAGGTAGTACACCACCTTGTGTTGGTGACTCTAGGGAATGAAATTGGACCAGGAGAATGAATAGAAAGTATTACTACTAAAGGGAATATATGAAAACGTAATTTTGTAGCTGATAATGTTTCTTTAAATATGAAATTCTAAAGAATCAACCAAATTATATTAGAACTAATAAGGAATTGATTAAAGCATCTAAAGTCAGGATGAGTATACTACAATCAGTACTTTGTCTTATAGTTAGCAAGAGCCAACCATACAATATAATGGGGAAAATCCCAAACAAAAATTATATGACCTAAAATAAACCTAGCAAGAAATATACCAAGCTTGATTAAGACAATCACAAATCTCTACATACAAATATAAAAGAAGAGTTGACTGGGACTTTCTGTGTCCCTAGATGAGAAGCCTCAATATTGTTAGTGTCTCTCACCCAAATCATTCTATACCCTCATTGCAAATCCATCTAAGTGATACAGTTTTTAAAATGAAATTTGACCCATTAATAAAGTTTGTATAGAAGGAGAACAAGTTGAGGTATAGCTAATAAAAAATTAAAAAAAAAAAAAAAAGGCCAGGCACAGTGGTGCATACCTGTAATCCCAGTATTTGGGAGGCTGAGGCAGGAAGATTGCTGAGTTTGAGGCCAGCCTGGGCTACAAAGTGAGTTCAAGCCCAGCCTGAAGTGCATGTCTCAAAAAAGAAAAAAACAACAGAAAAAGAATAGCTAAAAAAAATACTCTGATATTGATAGTGATGGTGGGTGATGCAGATGTGTCCTACCAACATCAAAGCATACGACTGAACAGTGATAATTTAAATGCGTGATTTAGCCAAAGTTGAAACACACAAATAGATCAATAGAGAAGAATAAGGTCCTGAGATAGATATGCGTGTACATAGGTAGAAATGTAGTATAAAGGTGCTATTTCAAACCAGTAAGGAAAGAAAGGAATAGTTAGTAGTTGGTCCTGAGAATGTTAGGAAAATTGTAAAGCCAGAGCCCTATCTTACATCATTACTACATCAAAGATTATGTATATTTGTAATTTTAATAGCTACTGCAGAATTGCCTTCTGAAAGTGTTTAATAATTGTAACTCCCACCACACCATATATGGTCAAACACTGTATATCATCAATTTTTAAAATTTTTGCCAACATAATGAATAAAAAGAGGAGTATATCATTTTATTTTTAAAACTTCCAGGAATAAACATAAAAACTAAAGTTATAAGAAAAATAGAGGAATTCCTAAAAGTATAATTTTGAGGTATAAAGGGCTTATGTAAACATGACTTAATACACAAAACCTATCTTTTTAAAAAGTTGTAAATTAAAAACACCAGATACAAATAAAAGATGTCAAAGTAGAAGAGGAATGTACAACAAAAGATTAATATTCATCATAAAAGAGCTCCTAAAAAACTCTTTGGAAACACACAAATTTTGGAAAATTTTTTAGCTATAAACAAAGTTTTCTCATAAAAATTATCGATAAATATTTGAAAAGATTTTCATTCTCTGTAATATAAAACTAAAATGATATGCTCCTTTTTTATTCATTATGTTGGCAAAAATTTTAAAAATTCATGATATACAGTGTTTGACCATATACAGCATGGTAGGAGTGACAATTATTAAACATTTTCAGAGGGCAATTCAGCAGTAGCTATTAAAATTTCAAATATACATAATCTTTGATCTAGTAATTTCATATTTATTAACTTTTACAAATATCACGAGTATATATTTGTGGCAGATTAATTTATCTTCTATAAATAAGTAATTAAAGATATGTTCAATAGGATGTTTATTATTGTCATGTTTATAATAGCAAAAACTAGACATGCCTAAACAATGCTCAACAATGGCAAGTGGTTACAAGTAGCACAAAGTATCCATAGTATGGAATAGTTTAAAAGAATATGGCCCATCCATATTTATTGATGTATTGTGGAGAATGGCAAAAATTTTGTTACTCAGTGAAAATACTAACTTGCAGAGGCAAGCAAGGGGGATGAAGGAGTGAGGGGAATGATCAAAGTACGTTGTATGCATATGTACATCTTCCAAAATGAACCCATTAATCTTTATCACCAGTATGTACTCATACAAAAAAGATGTGAAAGCAAAAATAAAGTAAGTTGCAGAAGGATATGTTCACTATATTCCCACTTATGTAAAAAGTCATGTATGTGTCCATATAAATACAGAGAGAACAATCTAGAAGAGTAGATCCCAAAGTAATACGGAGTTCGGGGCCTCTCATCTGTCTTTATTCTGAATTTTGAACAGTGAGGCAGGTGTCAAGAATTGTTAGTTAAATGGAAAAGAAAATACTGAGAAGTTACATTACATGCACATGTATTTTACGTAAAAACAACTGTGTGCATTTGAAAAGAAAATCAGGGAGAGGGTAGTAACTGCAGCTAACATATGCAGGTCACCTACAGCCCTGTATGGACCTGAGGAAGATGTATGCACCTGCTGGCCACCAGCCAGAGGCAGCTCTAGGGTCCTCTTGGTAGCGTACACCTCACAGTGCTGAGTGTGAGTCTAGGATCTAAAGTCGGGAGGGTTTGGGTGTGCAATGTGCCTTCCAAAGGAAAGTCAGCTGCTTCATCAATGATGCTGTCTTCCAAATCAGGAGAGAAGCAGTCTGAGAAAAGTCATTTCCAATATGGCGCACTCCCCTTGGAGCAGGGCTCTTGAGGGTAATATATATCATGCATACAATATTTTCTTAACATGTCAGTTTTTGAATCAGTTTCCAGTATTTTCATCAGTGCCACTTTACTAATAATAAAATTTAAGCAAATTTTTATCCAGGGCTGTCAGGTAGGAGCTGAATTAGGTAAGGCCCTTTTGGTCAGTGGCAGAAGCAAAGTCTTCTGCCTCCAGCCCTCTTGCCGGGGACACCCATGCTCAGACCCCGCTGCGGAGGAAGATAACTGGATTGAAATGACAGCTCCAAGCCCCTAGGCTTGAAGAGTGCAGCTTTACTTCCCACACCAGCTGCAGGTGGGGCAGAGAGCTCGGAGAAAGTCGAGTCTGCCAAAAAGCAGGAACTGGCCCTGTGAGATGGGAAAGAAAGCACCAGTTCCAGCAAGGACCCTACCAGTAGTTAGACCCAGTGCTGCCAGGGCCAGGCACCCACCATCAGATCTGGACTTTTTCCCCTTAAAGAAGAGCAATTAAGACCCTAGAGTGGGGCTGAAGTGTGATGTGGAGAGGTGAGGGACATTTGTTCCTTTTGTTTTGTTTTGGTACCAGGAATTGAATGGGACATTTGCTCTTATTCTCCTGGTTTCCTAGAGGGAAAGAGGGAAAGCAGTAAAATTGGCCAACGCCTGAGGGAAGAAATGTCACTTTTAGCTCTGTGTTTCATTCATTTATTAACAATGAGCAGGCATCCACATATTAAATAATTAAAATAATACCATAAAAATTTTAAGTGCACTTGTTAAAAATGAAGTCAAATTTTTACAGGTACAGACATGTCGATTAGTAAGGAAAAAACCATAGAATTTTGTTCTTTGCTGCCTAAGTTATGGAAAACCCAGACTTCAGGAAAAAGCTTAGTTGGTCCAATACTAAAATCACCTCGTTTGGGGCGTGTTTGCATTTCCAAATGTCCGCTCAGCATCCCTACCTGGACAGTTCAGTGCTTCCTTAAATGTAAGTGCCCCACTCTCATAGCCTCCTGATCTACACCACCACCACCACGAAACCCCCCTCACCTGTGCATCGTGTCTCAGTAAAGACGCCAGGACCAACCTGCAGGCTCAGGGCAGGCCCCTGGGGGTCACTGTGGTGTTTTCCTCCTCTGCTTCCCACATACGCTCCATTAGCGAGTGTCCATCGCGCCGCCTGGACACCTCTCAAATCATTCCCATCTCCCTAGCCAGAGGTCCTGCAGCTGTGGACTCCTGGGAAGGCCTTCATAATTGGTCTCCCTTCTCTGAGCCTTACGTGCTCTCTGCAGTGAAACTAGGAGACACTTTAGTAAAAGTCTTTGTTTTGAGATGGTTATAGCTTCGCCTGCACTTACAAGAAATAGAGAGATCCTGTGCTGTCCAGGTCCTCCCAGTAGTGACATCCTGTGAAACCACAGTAACCATCATAACCAGGAAGCTGACACCAACACAGCCAAGGCTCAGGACAGTCCCATCTCCCCAAGGCTCTTCCTGTTGCCCTGGGATAGCCACAGTCACCTTTCTCTCTCCGTCTCCGTCTCCCACCCTGTCCTGGACCAGGGAGCTTCTCCCAAGGCTCGTAATCCTGCCAGAAACTCCACATTGACTTCCCTTGTCCCTGAGCAAAGTGCCTTATCCTTGTTAGAGCCAAAGTGGCCCAGAAGGCTCTAGGTGCACCGCCGTACCCAGCTCTGCCCTAACCTGTACCCACAGTTCTGCTTCCTCACATGCACCGTCGTCTTTGCTTCCGCCACCACAGACTGTCCGCCACCTCTGCAGTTTTCCCCCAGCCTTTGTTTGAATTCAGGGCCCAGCTTACTCATCAACCGCTGGAAGCCCTCCTGGCCCAAGTCTACCTTCAGGTTGCTATAACCTGGATTCCCTGGGGTTTCGTACAGTACGTTTGTAATGATCTGTCTATAAGTTAGCTCTGTCTGTCCAGTTACAGGTTAGGAATACATTCAGCTGACCAAGTCAGAACAGCAAGTGGCTTAAATGAACTTGTTTTCCTCACATAAGAAGCCAGAGAGTGGCACACAGGTGTTGGCTGAGGTGTCTGCTCGATGATTAGCCAGGACCAGGACTCTCTGTCTTTTTCTTTTGCTATCCTCATTGTTCTGCCACCTCAGGGTTATATGGTGAGTGCCATAGCTCCAGACATCATGTCTTCATTCAAGACAGGAAAAAGAGGCAAAAGTCTCTCCCTTCATCCAAAGATCCCTCAGAAGGTTTCCCTCCTATGGGTCATTGGCCAGAGCTAAGCCTACCCTGGCTTCAGGGGAAAATGAGTAAGTGGTGTTTTCCCCTTTGTTTCAAACTCCATAGTGAGAAAGGTGGGCAAAGGACAAGGGTTGGCAGTAGCTGTGGAGAATGTCCCCTCTGCTCAGCACCTGCCATGCATTAAACTTGTTAGTATTTGTGGTGTGGGCAGGTGGGTGCCCAGGTGGGTGGAGGGGTGGGTAGATGGATGGAATGAGTCTCCCGTCATGCTGGGCTCTGATTTGTCTGGCTCGTGTACACCTGCTGTGTAGGTTCTTGAGCTTGACTCTGGTATGTTGTGTCTGTAACTTGACTTCCTTGCTGCACTGTAAGCTTCTCACACACAGGGACATTTTTATGTTTTTCTGGAGGACATCACATGCTAGACCCATAATTGCTTAATATTAATTAACTTAAAACAGAAAAGGGAGAGTCACAAGAGGCCAGAAGCTAAATATAAGTAGATATAATAATAAACTAAATATATGTAGCAGTTTAATAGCATGTATATTAAAATCATGTAGGACCAAACCAAAAAAAAAAAAAAAATACAGAACATGTACGTATATAATATCATCACTCTAGGATACTTGTCAGGCTAGTATGTTAATTTAATTCCCATTATTGAAGAATGCATGAGATAGCCACGTTTTCTTTCCCGGAAATCACAAACAATATATTGGGAATTAGGGCTAGAAATTGGTGTTCAGTACAGCATGTTGCAGAAAGTGCGCACTTCGGTTTAATGCTCAGCTGTGGACCTGTGTGGCAGGCACAACCTTCCCTCCAAGAGCACTCAGATGCGATGCTGAGGAGGAAACTCTCCCGTGTGGAGCTTGGCTGAGGCCAATTCCAGAGGGTCATCCTTGAAGACTCACCCACTCATTCACCTGCCTGGAGCGGGGACAGTTGCTTCTTACCTTGCATGTGCATTCCAGAGCCCACAAAGACCTGCTGTCCATCAGTTTTAAATCCAGAGCACACCTTTAACTGGCTGAAGATTCTAGCTATAGCACAGGCTGGGGGAGGGGGAACCAAAACATGTCAAGAGAAACTCACACATCCCAGGGCCTTGAAATGTTTCCTACAGAACCTCAGGGTGACAGGCCATACATTACAGGGCGTCTGGAACCTGGGAGGAGCAGCAGAAAGTGGATGGAGGCTGTGGTAGAATTGCACCATACACATGTGGGCTTTAGGTCGGCACGTGCTCAGCAGTACCCCGGGGCTTGCTCGTCATCAGAGTTCTTCCCCCGGCCCTGGAGAAGCTTTTTCCGGGTAGAGAGACTCATTTGCTGGGCGTGCTTCTCTCCAGACACTGAAGGCTTGGTAAACAAGTTTATGAAATCCTGAAATCAGAACCCAACACCCCTTAAAATTTCATTCCATAAATATCCCATCTGAGCTAGATGCCCATTTGACAATTTGGATAATTTCATATTTCAGAATACTGTTTAGATGGCAGCTGCTTGTGCCCTGGCTCCCACTGAAAGCCTGTGAAATCTGTCCTTTGGATAAGTACGTACATACTTCTCTGCAGCATCTGACTACAGATAAGACTCTCCCTCTCCCTTAATTTCTCCTTTGTTCATTTTTATTCTATCCCCTGCATACAAGCATGCACACATGTGTTTGTGCATGCACACTCACATATACACAGCTGCAATTCCTAGTATACCAGGGGTCTGGAGCTGTGGTGCTACTTTTAGGGGGACCTATCAAATTCTGTCTTTCCAGCCTTTTATTTTACACATCTTCTTTGTTCAGCATCATTTGTAACCTTTCTGTATGAATGACCACCATTCCTACATATAGACAGATACGATGCCCAGCCATCTGTCTTAGCCACTTTCTCATTGCTGAGGCATAGTAACTGACACCTGAGGCTTGAAGAAGGAGAGGTTTATCTTGGCTCACGGTTATACGCAGTCCTTAGTCAGCCGGCTCCAAGGCAGAGCAGCATGGCAGTGGGGCATAGCAGAGGAAAAGCTGCTTACCTCATGGCAGCCAGGAAGCAGCGAGCAAAAGAAAGAGCCAGGGAGGAGAATGTACTCTTCCAGATCCTGCCGAAGGGACCCACCTCCCAGCAAGTCAACTAGAGCATCCTCGATCCTGTCACCTTCCAAATACATGAAGCCTTTGGGGCCATTGTAGAGCTAATTGCTAACACAGTCCATAACTTAAACCTATTCCTGACTGTGCTCAGAAGTCTAATAACATTTTAATATTATAGAAGTAGATGTAGCATCATAGAAAGTTTGAAAATATAGACAAAGCAAATTTTTTAAAAAAATCTAAACAGTGTATTTCCACCACTCCAATTGTCAGCGTTAAAACCTGTCCTGGTCTGGGATTTTTTGCAAGGAGAAACAATATAATACAGGACAAGTATTTTATAAGATTATTTATAATAGTGACCCAAAGAATCACACACAAAGAGAGTGCAGGAAATCTATCCACACACTAAAGACCAAGGAATCCAGCTGAGGGCCTGGATTCCAGTAACATCCTACATGAGCCCACAGGAGGCCTAGAGCCCACAACAAGATCTCATGCAGGCCTGTTTCATGGATCTGCACTCGGAAGGCCCAAAAGTCAGTGGTGGAACCTAAAAAGTCTGTGCCAGCAGGATGAAGGATCTGTGCCAGGAGGCTGAGGGATCTGTGCCAGCAGGCTGAGGGATCTGCACTGGAGCCAGGAAGTGATGCTCAAAGTAAGAACCAGAGCTCCCCTGAAAGGTACCACAGCCATCCTCAATGACAGTGAGGTCCCGAGCCCCTCTGATGAGGAAAGCTAAATTCCCATCAGGAAAGCCAGTGCGACAAGTTTCTCCAGGAGACTGGGCAGGTCATCATCTTCCCCTCTGGAACCCAGAAGCAATGCTGGAAGTGAGGGCTGGAGCTCCCCCAAAGTGAGCCAAAGTCATTCTCAGCGACAGTAAGGTTCTGAGCTCCTTTGATGAAGAGAACGGCTAGGTTCATCAGGAAAACCAGCATGACAAGCTCTTCCAAGAGAACCAACAGCTCCTTACAGCTTCTAACAGCACCCAGAAGCTTCTCCCAGTTCCCAACAGCCTCAACTTCTTCTCCAGTTCCACCTCTTATGCTGCTGGCAACAATCCTCAGGTGGGCCTCCCACACCCAGCACCACGCTGATTCAGTTTAGCTGGGTGTTATAAGTTGACCACCAGTTGTCAATCCACCACAAAACCTCAATGCATACCCCTCTGGATTTTTTTTTCCTGTGCTTATTTTGGACAGTAATGTTCTACTTTTCCATTTTACTAAAATTTATTTTATCTAATACTGTAACCCACAGCCATATTTTCCTGGCTGACCCCAAAATGTCCTTTACACATAGTTTTCTCAAGATAGTATCTGACTAAATATTGAATCTGGTTATGGCCCATAAGCCTTTTATTATCTGGTATGATTCCCGTTTATGTGGTTACTGACTTACTAAGGAGACTGTGCTAGTTGTCCTACAAAACGTCCCACTATCTAGCCTTTTCTGACTGCCTTTCCTACATAGTTTAGCTCATTAATCTGTCTCCCAACTTTTTGTAAATTAGATGTCAAATCCAAAGGGCTGATGAGTCCAGGTTAAACGTTTTGGTGACAATATATCTCTGGTGATGTATACTTGGTGTTATGTCACTGGAACAAATATATGAAGTTACCCTGTCACTGAAGTTACCCAGTCACTAGGATTGACCATCCAGTCCGGGTGGGTTACATGTTCCTTCAGCTGCAGCAGAAATGATCTCTGCCAAGCTCGAGAATTTTTCAACCTTGGCACTGTTAACATGTAGGGCCAAATAATTCTTTGGCATGGGGCTGTCCTGTGCAGTGGAGGCTTCTGAGTGGTAGCCCTGGTATCCCCCCACCAAAGCACTCCCCTCCCAGTTGCAAAGACCTAGAACATCTCCAGAAAGTCATGGACAATCAAAAGCATCACAGTGGAGTCAATCAAAATCAGCACAGTTTGAAGAAAAGAGAAAGGGAGTACTTATGAGAGATTCTCGCAAGTTTATCCACAGAAGTAGTGTGGAAATTCCAGGTCAGTTCTAAGGACCTTGGATGTGGGAATTTTGGGGATTCTTCTAGAGCCCTTGCTATTAATATGGCTCCACCCCACCAGCGCCCCAGGTCTCTTTCTCCTTCTTGGTTCTACAAGAGGTCATCTGATTGGCTCAGCTTAGCTGTAGTATCTACTCTTTAGCCAATCAGCTATGGCAACACAGAAAAGACTACTACATATATACTCATACAAAAGCAGAGGGTCGGGCAGGGGAGGCTTCCCCTATGATTTTTTTTCTCTGTTACCTGAGGGAGTGCCTCCTCTTGGACATCTACCCCAGCCCGTACCACCTAGGACTTTCCTCCCTAGTCCAGGGACTGCCGCTGCCTGATATTCCTGCCCATGCCCAGCCACGTTCCCTCAGAAGAAGGATCAGCTGTAGCAGCCCAGTAGGAGGAGGTCAGGGAGAGGGGAGCAGCCAGCCCAGGGCCCAGCAGCATCTGGGCAGCCCCACCCACACCATGCCCCATACATCAGGCCTGACTCCCTCAGTGTAGTGTCCATGTGACCCACCAAGCCAGGGTGTTACCTCAAAATGCAGACAAGCTGCCTTCAATCCTCTGTCAGCACCCTGTCACTGCCGCCTGAGATTTGTGGGGTGGGCACGAAGACAGTGACAGAGCGTAGAAGGGACACTATGCCTACTCCCAGTTCCTTTAATGGCCATCAGGATAAATCTTAGGCTGGGTGCTATTGCCCCAGAAAGACAAGAGTCCTCAGCTGGGTGTTGGTGACACTGCACAGGGTTGCGGGTCTTGTGCCAAGAAGTGGTGAGTGGGAACGGGAGCAGGAGCAAATGCACCAGCCCCAGGCTTTGCAAAGAAAGAAATGCCAGTCCAGGAGGAAAATGCAGAGACAGGGCAAGGAAGAGCTTTAGAGCCTCACACTCCAAAGCCTGAGGAAACTGTGGTGGCCACCTCACTCCATGGCGGGCAGCAATCTTCAAATCAAAGTGGAAGTAAGTGCTGCTAAGGTCTGTCTTTCCCTCTGGTGAGAACTACCTCGATGCCATTTTAGAAATGTAAAATGGGCGATCCTCCCACTCCCTTGGCACTCGGCCTTGCTGGTCATACCCCAACTCCTGGGCACCGGCCTCTGCCCAAGGGTCCCAAGAGAAGGGTCCCACCATCCTGAGAATGTGTGAGAAGAGCTTCCAGAGTTCTGGGAGGTGTTGGTTACACTCCACATATGAAAATCCTCTGTGCACGTGGAACCTCTCTGGCATCTGGCACATACACAGCTTTTAAAATGAATGAATGAGTGGATGAGTTACCTTTAGAGCACAGACATGTCAACAACAAACTTCAAGAACATGAGTTAAATAAGCCTTTGAACACTTGGGGAAGCAATAACTGTGTGTGACCAACTGAGTTATGACCCCTCAAAGTCCCAGTCCCCACGCCCGCGGAACATGTTACCTTACATGGCAGAAGGGAGTCGCAGATTCAATTAAGTAAGGACCTTGAGATGGGGGATTATCCTGGATAATCTAGGAGGGCTGTGTAATCGCAGCGGCCCTTAGAAGAGCGAGGCAGGCTGCTCAGAGGAAGATAAAGCATTGTGATCACGGAAGTGACATGATGGCTGACCAGGAAACAGCAAAGCCAGCACCTCTGGAAGCTGGAAAAGAAAAGGAAGGAAATTCTCCCCTTGAGCCTGCAGGAGGCTTGGTGTCCACCCCGCGAGATATTGTTTTAAGCCATCAAGTTGGTGGTAATTTCTAACAGCAGCACCAGGAAGCTAATAGACTATGTATCTCATTTTCTTCCCTCTGGGGAAATTGTTTTCTGATTTCTGTATATTTGTTCAAGACGTTAGTTTTTGAAACACAGCCTGTTTGCATTTTGGAGCCCATCCATATCTACCTTGATCTTGATCATCCTGCCTCAAAAAATCATCATAAGCCTCAAGAAGAAAATCTATTAAAATATGTATTTGGGGATTTAAAAATCATTCAGGCACAATAATAAATCTGTGATTAACCAGTTTTTCTTTAAGAGGACCCAGGGCTATGTAGCGATATGGCTGCCCAGAGGTAAGTGGGCCTGGCAGCATCCCTGTTTTGTTGGCATCACTGAGGCCATGAGTTACTTGCCTGAAAGCTGCTGGCTCAGAAGGAAGGAGAGGGGGATGCTCTGGATCACTTCCTTCTGAAGAAGAACTCTTCCCAAATCTGCTGCTGGCCATAGACTCCTGCCTGAGTACCTGAGGAAGACGAAACTACAGAAATAGTTAAGAGTCTGTAAAAAACAAAGAAAGGGCACGAGCATATCAGAGCCTAGGCATAAAGGAAGATTTCAAAAGATTCAGAGACCAGAATGGGGGGATGAGAACAGGGCTGGAGAATCTAAAAGGAGCCACGCTGAGCTCTAAAAGCCTGGCATTGAAATGATGAAGTTAAAGGAGCTCCCTGAAGAAGGGAGAGGAGGCCGAGGTTCAGAAGAAGGGGCTGGTTCAGCCTTGCAGGGAGTTTTCTGCTGAGCAGAGGATGGAAATGTGTATGAGGAAGTACAGAAAGACAAACAAAAAAGAGCCTGCCAAGAAAAATGAATGGCCTGCGTGAGCTTAACCGTGCAGAAAATGGTAACACAATGAGAGAGACCTTGTTAGAGACTGGGCCGGCCGCTGCTTCCAGGCATGTCAGCTTGGTGAGTGTCCACAGGTGCTTAGCTGCTGTCCAGCGTCACCACCGTCCCCTCCCCAGCAGGACAAAGGCTCTTCCCTAGAAACCGGACAGAGCAGGCGGTTGAGAGAGCAAAGGAACCCCTGGTAGCTTGAAGTAGCTCAAGGGGAGGCCTGGGGACGACATCCCAGGCTGCAGGATGACCTTCGCTGTAACCACAAGTTTGCCCGTCCACAGACAACCACCATTTGCCTCATTTTCCAAGAGCGGATGATGTGTTTTCTCAAGGTCCTGTTGAGAGCCACACTCACTCCATGAGCCGGCTTCAGCTTATTGAACACATAGCTTGTGAATTTAGAGGGAAGACGAGATGGCACGGATTCAGAGTTCTAGGGGGCACTTAAAACCCCAAGTCCTGCTAGTCCCATTACCTTTGCTTTTATTCTTTACAGTGCCCAGAATTGAGCCCAGGGCCCTGCGCACGTGCTAAGCACACACACTGCTGGAGCTCCACCTCCGGCCTCATGACCTTGGGTTACGAGAGACAAGTGGGTTAGTCATGGACATAAACTCACGGCATTTTAGGGCCAGAAGCATCTTTAATAAAATTTGTTTCTCTCATTATGCACCGAAGGAACCTGGATCCCTAGACCTTCAAGGAGAGTCCTGGGGCCGTCTGGGCCCATGCCAGGACTCCAGCCTCCCCATCAGAGTCCCACCCAAACATACAGCATTTCAGCAAGACATCTAACAAACGCTGGGGTTATGGCTGGATGAGCTTAGAAATACAGGCTTTATAACTGCATGAACAGCCAAAATCCTGAGTGTTAATTTATTCCCTCAGCAAAGGGGCCGTACATAGCTCTGTCCTTTCAGTATTTTAGAAATGATTTACATAATAGAAACAGAACGCCTGTTCAAAATGATACAAAAATGAGAGGGGGACTTGTGTCATCAGATGAGAGAATCCAGATTTCCTCAGTCAGAACAAATACAAGTATGGAAGTTAAAGGGGGACGCATAAGAAAGGATTTAGTGTCACCAATGATGAGAGAGACCTAGCTCTTTACAGCCTTGGTGTAAAAGCTTTAGGGACTTCAGTATTAGCAGACCACAAACTAACAGAGTAACAAGCCTGCAAAGAAAGATTGTGTGGCCGTACCATGTGGCAGGCAAGACAATGCCCCCCGACCCTGCAAGATGGCCTGAATGCCCTTTCTGGGAGCTCTGAATATGTTGCCTTAGGTGGCAAGGAGGACTTCACGGGTGGGATTAAGTTAAGGATCTTGAGTTGAGGAGACCATCCAGGGATCCTGCAAGTGCTCCGTGCCCTTTTTGGGCCCCTTATAAGTGAAAGAGGGAGGCAGGAGGGCCAGGATGAGGACAGGTGATGTGACAGTGGAAGCACAGGTAGGAGCAGTGTGGAGCCAGCAGCCAAGGACTGTGGGCAGCCCCTGGAAGCTGGAAAAGGCCAGGAAATGGGTTCTTCCCTAAGGCCCCTGGAAGGAGCCCATCCTTAATGACCCACTTTAGACTTCGACTTTCTTTTCTGACTGGAATTGTGAGAGAAAACTTGTGCAGTTTTGAATTTGTGGTGACTGTTCCGGCAGCAGTAGGGCAGAACACAGGCTGTCTGAGTAGCGGTTAGAGCATCTAGCCAAGCAAAGGTGGTACCATATGCTATGAGGCCGCATCTGAATGTTAGATTCTGTTCTGGTTAGGGAATTAGGGAGTGTTGTGAGGTTGCTATATTATTTGGAAGGGAAATAATACAGGACACATAATTTATAGGATTATTTTATAATATTCACCCAAAGAGTCAAATGTAAAACAGTGCAGGAAATCTGTCCACACACTAGAGACCCAAAGAATCCTACTAAGGGCCTAGACTCCACAGCAATGTTCTGCATGAGTACAGCTGAAGACCTAGAGCCCATGACAATGTCTCATGCAAGTCTGTCTCATGGATCTCTACTGCGAAGGCCCAAAGGTCCATGGTAGATGCTAGAAAGTCTGCGCCAGAGGGATGAAGGATCTGTGCCAGGAGGCTGAGGGATCAGCCCGGAGCCAGGAAATGACACTCAAAGTAAGGACCAGAGCTCCCTGGAAAAGAACCACAACCATCCTCAGTGACAACAAGGTCCCAAGCTCCTCCGGTGATAACAGCCGAGTTCATGTCAGGAAAGCCAGCGCGACAAGCTTCTCCAGGAGAACCAACAGCACCACCTGTTTCTCTCCAGCTGGCAACAGTCCTTAGGTGGGCCTTCCATACCCAGCTCCAAGCTAATTCAGTTCAGCCGGGTATTACAAGTTGACATCAGTTGTCAGTCACCACAGGAAGCATGTTGACAAAATCACACACACATTGGATGTGGAAAGAAGCTCAGAGTCATAACAAATGAGAAAAAGCTCAAAATACTCAATATTTTCAGCATGACTGACATGGAGACTAACAGTTATCTTCAAATATATGAAGGGCTAAGTAAGCCAAGGAAAGATTAGAATCTCCATAATTCCAGGGGGAAATATCAAAACCAGTGAAGACATTCTCAAGAGTGAGAGCTACCAACATAGTAACACTGTGCCTTGCTAGCAGAAATCTTCTTGTCCCTGGAAGCCTTCAATCAGAGGCCGAAAGATCACTGTTCAGGATGCTAGAAAGATTCCTCCATAGGGCCACAATTGGTCAAGAACTGCTCTAAGCATTTGCATTGTAAGATTTGAAGCCTTGACAGCTCTGGAAAGACAAGGCATATTTTCACTGAAGTCCTGGATCTTTCCTTGTGTTAAACTTTCTAGTGAAATCTCACAGGAAAATAAAAGCAGTAGCAAAAGTTCTCACTTCAGTTGCTCGTGGAACTCTCACTGCTGATTTCAAATTGCCTTGAGAACTGTCACCTTGATGAGTAAGTAAAGTATCTAGGTCAGTGTCTCCACACTGGTGTAATCTAGAGACACAAGGCCAAAGTGGGGAACCCAGGCAGGCCAGGCCAACCCTGCGGCATTTCCCAACTCGTGCCCCTCCGGCTATGCTGGGCGCTGCTTCTGGCTGTCTTGAGAGTGGTCACACTTCAGCTTCTTTGTCAGCTCCTTAAACCCCAACAGTGTCTCCTGTGGGTCAGGAGACCATAAAGTCAGACTCGTGCAAGCAAGGTCATGGAGGGGTGGGTTCCTTTCCTGTAGCAAATCAGCACTTCTTTGTGTTGGGGTTGTCCAGAGAAGGACAGAAGACAGATGCAACTGGCTTGGTTGGGCTGAGTGTCCATGATAGCATCTTCCACCAGGCCCATGTGTCTCAGATTGGAAAACTGATCACCCAGAGGGGGCCCAGGGTACCCTTGTCTCTCCAAGTGGTTTCCTCCGGAAGTCTTAAATAAAACTGCTGCTGCTTGCTTGCTTGCAAGAGAAAGAGCAGAGCACACTAGAAGAGCTTCTCCAAGGCCATCCTCTGCTTCCCATGCTCTGTCCCATGCTCTGAGAGTTTCCGGCATGTGGGCACCAGGCTTCACTGCAGCGCCAGCCCCTGAGAGGAAGGCAGAGATGCTTGTGCCAGTTGATTAAAACATTCTCAGTCAACGTGTCTGGACAAGCACCCAGGGCCTCACACCCCAGCGTGACTGTGACTATAGCTACATTTAGACATCACGCTGACATTTCCTCATTGTTTCTGAGTCGCTGCTCCTCCCCCCATGCTCTCCGCCTTCTCACTTTAGCTTGTGTGTATATTTTAGTACCTGTGCATTGGCTTTCCAGCTTTAATTCAGTTTGTCTAAGGCAAGAGGGAAAGAAACTGAGCCTAAACACTGGGTGACTGTGCTTGCAAAATACCACACGGCCTTGTTGCTTTTGCACCTATAACTTGCAAGTGTTGGGGATGAATGCAGAGTCCACGCCTGGCTTTGCGCCAGCAGCTCCGCTGGGTGGCTGACTGGGCAGCAGCCTTCCAGATCCGCATCAGCCTCCCCACCTCTCCCAGCAGCACCCAAGCTTAAGTGAGAGCCACACGCGTCCTCCAGGTGCCCATTGACCTTGCTGCCGCCCCACACCCTCCTGTGGTGACTTCAGAAGCCACCAGCAGAGGTGACGAGGAACTGGAGGCTTCAGGGAAGGTGCACATTTGCCAGTTGGGCCTGACTTTAGTTGGTGTGGGTGTCCATCCGAGAGGATCTAAGTTGGACTCTTTACACATCTCAGTTTCTCACCTGCGCAACAGGAATAGTAGTGGTTCCTCATTCACCAAGGGATTATAAGGACGTCAGGGCTTAATTCAGGCCTGCCGGGCTGGCCCTTAATACCCTTAGCCCCTTTTATCATCACTGAATGAATATAAAGTGAACAGTTAGAAACGTGTGGGCCCCTAGATTTGATTACTGAAATAACAGACGTGAAAAAAAATCAAGTCTGAAATGTGCACATTTTCAGTACTTTATGTTCGTATCCTGCAGTGTGAAATGCCTTTTTATTTCCGCCCCCACCCCCAGGACTATACTTTGTTATATGAAGAGGCAAAATATTTTCAACTTCAGCCAATGTTGTTGGAGATGGAGAGATGGAAGCAGGACAGAGAAATGGGTCGCTTTTCACGGCCCTGTGAGTGCCTCGTGGTGCGGGTGGCCCCGGACCTTGGAGAAAGGATCACACTCAGCGGCGACAAGTCCTTGATAGAAGAAGTGTTTCCAGAGATCGGCGACGTGATGTGCAACTCCGTCAACGCAGGCTGGAATCACGACTCCACGCACGTTATCAGGTTTCCACTGAATGGCTACTGTCACCTCAACTCAGTCCAGGTAGAGCACGAATATCGTATGGGCCTTCCATGCCACTCTTAATGCTTCACCTTGCCCTTCCCCCAGTGAGCCCAGAGACCGTCACGGGGGAACACTTCGGTGGGGTAGGTAATTATCACCTGGCTACAGCGTTCTTTAGTCATTCTTAAAATCTTTACTGAGCACCTAACCTGTGCCAGGTGCTGGTGTGCACGCTGGAGAAACAGAACAGAACAAATAGTAGGTTGGTTGGTGAGGCTTGCAGTCTGGGGCTGGGGTGAACATGAGACAGCATAAATACTTCCCCGCCAGGAGTAAGAGGGTATCTGGGGTGGGATAGCCCGGGCAGAGGGAACAACGGGTCCTGAAGTCCTGAAGCGGGAAAGTGCTTGGCAGACTGAGGCATAGCAGGTCAGCCAGCAGAGCTGGGGAAAGTGACTTGGGGAGAATGAAAGCTAGGACACACGGTCAGGGGTGACCAGGGACCGTCATGGAGAGCCGTGGGGAGAGCAGTAAGCACTCTAGAATGGAAAGGAGGATTTGAGCAAGAGGGACCGGATGTAACCAGTATTTTAAAACAAATTCTCTAGCAGCACGTCGAACTAGTGAAGCAAAGGGACCAGTCGGAAAGTGGAGGTCCAAGCAATAATCGGGACATGTCTGGTTGTGAATATCTTGAATGTATTCCTAACGAGGTTTTCTGACCATGGCTGTGAGTTGTAAGACAGAAGCCCAGGATGACCAAGGTTTTTAACAGAGAAACAGATGAGAGGTACTGAGATTTTCTGAGATGGAGATGTGCTTGGGAGAAGACGGCTCGGGTGGGGTTCAGAACCTGGGTTTGCCTATGTGAGGGGCTGTGTGACTTCAGCGCTGGAGGGCGTTGCCAGCCTCCTATCCAAATGTGCAGAGCGTGGGCTCTCTGCACCCTCCTGGGCTGTGCCATGTGTGTACACTGGTTTCCTATGGCATGCTAGCTCCCTGTCTTGCTGTTTGCAGATGGACACGCCTGGGTCTTGACTGCAGATCTCTGTGACACAAAACTCTTGGAAGCCTATGGAGGGAGGGTTTGTTTTTCCCATCTCTGTAATTTGGATGCATAAATGAGTTAGTTCAATATGTAGGAACAGAACCTCTCCACGAGCTAAAGATTACAAATATTTACTAGATAAGCTACCTCTGGAGGATTGCTCCACAATGATGTATATAATTTTTAAAATGTATGAGTGGCCGGGCAGGGTGGGATATGGCCGGAATCTCAGCCCTCTGGGAGGTTAAGGCAGGAAAATCACAAGTTTGAACGGAGCCTGGGCCACTTAGTGACAGCTTGTCTCAAAATAAAAGAAAAAGGGCTGGGGGATGTAGCTTAGTGCAAAGGCCCTAGGTTAATTTCCAGTACCAAAGGAAGAAACACAACTAAACTAAAATTTATGAGCAGGTGTCTCAGAGCAAAACAGCAGAAAACTCTAGCAAATAAATGAACCCTTGACATGCTAGAGGAAGGCACACACTTCCATCAAGGTTCTGGAGGGCAGCATTCATATTCTCACCTATGTGAATGGTGCCCCCTGAAGGCTGGGGTGCTCCTGCGCTGCCCTGTGCAGTGTTGTGAGGGGCTTCTGCAGAGCCCTTGCCTCCCAGCTGCCCTGCCAGCTATGCCCCCAACCCCAGCCTCCAGCCCAAGAGGAGGCAGAGCCACTCAGAGCCAGGACTGGAAGCCCTCAGCCCCATGCCTCGGCCAGTGAACACCTTTCCTTGATTCATATGCTTGATGCATTTCCCAGGTCAGATGTGGAGTTTTTCATCAGTGTCAAGATACAACACAGCCATAACCCACTCCTATTTCCTATTCCTTTCGGTTTGGAAGATTTTTGTATTTCAACGAAGGACACCAGCCTATAGCAGAGACTTTGAGATAAGGCATCTGACACCTAAAATGCCACCTAATTATTTAAACATTCTCAAATGACTGCTAAATCCAAGAACTTTGCCACTGAGTTAGTGTTTACAAAGCAATGGTTTCCTAAGCTATTTGCATTACATGGAAATAAGCACTTGACCACATTCACGGGAATATTACGTCATATTGAATAGTCATCATATTATCTCAGGATCCCAGAGAGGAAGATGTGTAGGGATTTCCTTCTTCTAGCAGTTGATGGCCCTGCGACTCCTAAGAGAATAACGGCCATCACAGCTTCCTTACCTTTCTATTTCCTCTCCTAGGCATCATAAAGATCCTTCCAAGGCAAAGTGGGGTGGCTCTTGCCGGCAGGCCACGTTCCTTCTTCTGCTGGAGAATTGTCCTGAGACTGAGCAGCTTTTTGCCTTTTTATTCACCTGCACCAACGCATACATTGGTTTTGAACGTGGGCCTTGTTTCCTTCATTGCCTGATGCGTGTATGCATGGTGAACTCACCTGCAGAAACAGAGCTCTGCACAGGATGTTTACAGGGTCCTCCCAAGGACTTATGGGTTTTCTTCATTTGCCAGAATTTGAGGTTTTCATTTTTAGAAAACATACACCCTTGCTTTCCAGTGCCACCCAATCAGCTAGCTATTTTGCAAAACAGCAAGTAAAATAAAAATTTTTTAAAAGCAGGAAGAGTTCACTTTCCACTGACTACATTTGCAGAGTTATTTAGTAACATTTCACTTCCTTCCCCCAAAAATCTGAGAACTGCAGGTACTGTTTTGCGCACTTAAGAGTGTCAGACATGTAGTGACACATGCAGGGATCTTCTGGCATTAGGTATTTGATTTCAAAATTAAAGAATAGATCATCTGGCTTATACTTTCATAAGAAATTTTAAATGTCTCTATTTTGGATACATGCTCTCATATATAACCACTGAGTTTATGCTTCCCTTCTTGAATATATGCAAAGCAATACATCTACTTCAAATGCCACAAACTGGAGAACTTATGGATAAAACTTGACTGTCTTCAGTAATCCATTTGTTCTGCTGTCGAAATATATAAACCTTCCAAAGTGAAATATAAGATATTAACTGAGTATTGGGAAACTTGCGAGTACAAATGAGTCACTGGCTAAGTAAATTCAAATTCTATTCTCTGTCCATATTCTTTATCATCTTGCAGAATATATTTCAGTGGTAAATGAACTTTGTAACGTGAGCTCTCACTTTTTGCAGAGAAGGCAGTATTGCAGTGTATTCAACACAAACCATCCAGCCATGGGATTTGAGGTCAAATAGGCCTGAGTGGGAAATCCCGTTCCATCGCTTCCTAACCATGAGCCTCTATTTCCTCATCTGTACAATGGGGCTCATACCACCCGGTGCTGTAACCAGCATGTGGGAAGCAGACATGCAAAGGCATGTTGTGGGTATTAGAAACGTCCACTTGCTCCCTTTGGCCCTTTCATCCAGGGTTTCCCTTTGGGAGCAGAAGAAGCTCAAAGGCACATAGAGGTTGCATGAGACGGAGTGAGCTGCACATGACCTCCCATTTTGGGATGATCCTTTGAGGGTACTTATGTGGCCAAATGACTCACCTCGCTCCTAACCGGTGCTTGTCTTGGTCCCTCACAGGTCCTCGAGAGGTTGCAGCAAAGAGGATTTGAAATCGTGGGCTCGTGTGGGGGAGGAGTGGACTCGTCCCAGTTCAGTGAATACGTCCTTCGGCGGGAACTGAGACGAACGCCCCGTGGACCCTCTGTCATCCGGATAAAGCAAGAGCCTCTGGACTAAACAGACACACTTCTTATGCAAAAGAGGAAAACATACACAACAAATAACGCAATCAGAAAGGGGACATTCATGTGCAGTCGGGACAGCAAACCAAGTTCTGGACCTAAAATTGAATAAAAGACACATTTATATCCAATAGAGATCATACCTGTATTCATATGGGAACAATTGGAATAGTGATATCCTCAAGGTGTAAAAAATATATAAATATATATATATATGTCAAAAGGTAGGAAATGCAAAAAATAAAAATAAAAAAGAGAGAGAGAAAAAGGTGATAGCTACAGTCGCTGCTGTGATGGCCGTGAAGTGTCCTGGGCCTGCCGAGGCCTCTGACCAATAAACAAGCCATGAGCGGGAGGACACAGTCTCCTTACAGTTTCCATTGTCAGCCGTCAGCCATTGTTTCTTTTCGTTTTGCCTTTCCGTTTCCGTTTCCATTTCCGGTTCCTTTTTTTTTTTTTTTTTTTTTACACCTCTTATGATATACTTTCCTGCTGGATGTTCAAGACCAAGCTCAAGTGAGACCTGTATTAAAATTAACTTCTTGCTATCTACCAAGGTCAGTTAAATCTCCCGAGGATTTACCTCGGAACCATGCACAGCACCTCTCAGTTCTACTGTCAGTGTCAGTCGTCGGGATGAGTCACGGCCGTTGCTTGGCCAAGTTGCTTTCTGTGAAAGCTTGGGAGAACTTTCTCTCCTGGTGAGCCTCCTTGGGCCCACTCTACACTATAGGATGACTTTCCTGTGTGGTCCCACGATCTCCTTGATCAGAAGGTATGGGACTCAGCCGAGTTATATGATGTTACAGCAAAGGTTTTCGTATATCCTGAGTCGTCATCAACCTTGGAGGGCTAGGGCCAAAGTATTGGCCATCCGCTTAGCCCATCTGTCTTTCTAATGTTTGGTCTCCAAACCTCAGTTGTTGAACATCCAGAAGAGAAGGTTAGTGACATTACATTGTAATGGGAGCAGTGAGCTTAATTATTAAAATTTTATCTGAGTATTGCTGGGTGTGGTGG